GGCGTGGTGGCGGGCACCTGTAGTCACAGCTACTCAGGAGGCTGAGGCAGGAGAATCACTTGAACCCATGAGGCAGAGGTTGCAGTGAACTGACGTCACACGACTGCAATCCAGTCTGGGTGACAGAGTGAAAAAAAGAAAAAAAACTTGATCTTAGTTCTTGTTTGATCTTGTTTTGAGATTCTCCTTGTCATGTCCACCCCTCTCACTGCTGGGAAGTCCTTCCCTGGGTCTCATCAAGGTCTCTCGTGATTGTCATTCCGTATCCTTTCCTCTATGATGGAAGGGAGCCAGAGGAAAGTATTCCCTGGCTTAGGGCCTTTCTAGGATGACTTCTGGGTTTTCTGTTGAATTACTCTCATCACTGGCCCAGCGTGTCCCCTCCAGGTAGCTGCCATGGAAGCCTTCCCGGAGACAGTGTCTTAACCACCAGGAATTGCTCTGTGTTGGACTTAGCAGTGAAGTGGGGATGGAATAGGAAGGAGTTCCACATGCCCTTCAGATCACACTGTGCCCTACACACTCTGCCCACACAGACCACCCCAACAGCGGGAAGACGGAGCCAGTAGGGAAGAGCCTGAACTCTGGGATGTGGCCTCAGCTCCTTTACAAACTGCGTGTGCAATCTTGGGCCAGTCTCAACCTCTCAACACTCCAGTTTCTCCTCTCCAGTGGCCTGGGGACACTGTGAATATTTACCTCCTAGGATTTTGTGAGGATTAATGAGATAAGGCATAGAACATGCTTAGCTCAGCTCTGGCCACACAGAAAGAATAAGTGTTGGCTTTTGTTGGAATTATGGTACCATCTTGGGCTATGACCACAAGGGCCGGCTTCAGAGGACAGTGACCTGCAGCAGAATAATAGAAATGCATTGAGAACAATGGTTCCAATGGGCAGCCGCTTCCTAACCCTTTACCCTTCTGTAACTCTGGCCTTCCTCAGGGAGACTCTGGCGGGCCGCTGAACTGTCAGGCAGCTGACGGCCGGTGGGAGGTGCATGGCATCGTCAGCTTTGGGTCTAGCCTCGGCTGCAACAACCCCCAGGAGCCGTCCGTCTTCACACGGGTCTCCAAATACATTGACTGGATCAATTCGGTAAGAACCGGACCAGCCCAAAGCCCCAGGGCACTTACCTGCCCACCTGGCCTTGGGAGTGCCATGCCCACCTGGCAACTGAGAACCCCCTCCTTCCTCTTGAGAGCTAGATGGGAACCCCTTGGAGGAGGCTGCAGACCTTGGCAATGCTGGGACCCCCCATGCATTTCTGTGTGGGTAAAGCTGAGTGAAAAGCAACATAGAAGGTGGCCTTGTCCAAAGACGTTGGACACTCCTCAGGCATATTGAGTGAGTTCTGCCAGACACGGTGGCTCAGGCCTGGAATCCCAGCATTTTGGGAGGCAGAGGCGGGCAGATCGCGAAGTCAGAAGGTCCAGACCAGCCTGACCAACACGGCAAAACCCCATCTCTACTAAAAAA